CTTCAGATTCTATATCTCCCTCTCTCTCTCTGCCCCTCCTCTGCTCATGCTCTGTCTCTCTGTCTCTCTCTCTCTGTCTCTCTCAAAAATAAACATTAAAAAAAAGTTAAATAAAAAAAATGAAACAAACAACGCCCCCCCCCCCAAAAAACATAAACCAGTCAATAGAACTATGGGAAGAAATAAATGAATCAAGAATTATAGGAAAAATTTAATTGTAGGAAATGTAAAACACTCATCTTAGAAACTGGTAGATGAAGCAGGTAAAAACCAGCAAATGAATAAAAAATTTTAATAATGTAATATGCCTCAGCTTTAGATGCAATAAACAGAGCACTGATTTCTTTTGGCTACATGTGGGACAGTTACTAAGAACTATCAAGTACTAGGTGGTAGAGGGAGCCTCAATTAATTTTATAAAGTTTATTCTTGACCATTATGCAATACAATTAGATATTAACCTAACAAAAAGGGATCTGAAAAAAACTCTTCTATCTAGAAATTGAAAAGCGTACTATTATTAAATGGTCATTGAGTTAAAAGGTAATCATGAGGAAAGACAACGAAAGCACTAAATATAAAGTTTGTGGTCAAATAATGTTGTCAATTCTGGAATTAGATCTGATGCAGTTACAGGAAAATATTAAAAATCTATAAGTTTGACAGTAGATATAAAGATGTCTGTGAAATTATTTCCCATATTGCTCTGTATATTTAAAATATTCAATAATTTTCAAACTTAAACATGTATTAGACATGGTTAAATTATAACTCAGACAAAAATTTAGAGCTTTAAATGTAATTCTCAGAAAATTAAAATGGCAAGAGAGGAAAATAAAAAATAAAAGGAAACCAACAAGTTAAGCTTTAACAAAGGAAGCTAATAAAAAGATAATAAATCCAAAGAAATGAGAAAAAGGAAATAGAAAGATAAGATCAGAAATCAAGGAAATAGAGAACAAAAATCAATAACAAAGATTAACAAAGCAAGGGTGTTTCTTTGAAAAGATTAATAAGATAGCAAACCTCTGATAAGACTAAACAAGATAAATCAGAAGAGTAAATAAATAATGAAAAGGAGAATTGTCTTTATACAGGAACACACGTTGTTCTAAAAATAATTTTTGGAATTAGGAGCAAACATTATAATACATACGAAATCCATTAGAAAATGGATTGATTTCTATAAAGGAGAAAATGGGTCAAATTGGACCCAAGAAGAAATAAAAAATTTAAGCAAGGCTATAAACATAAAGGTATTGAAGTGGCAATAAAATATCTCCTTCAATAAAAACCGTAGAAAAGGCACGGGGAACCTGAGAAAGGAATAAATAGGAAATGGATATGAAAGGAAAATTCATAGGAGAAAACCTGAGTGGCTATGAACCAATCTTAGTGGCGAGATGAAACCTTAAGATGCCACTTTGCACCTGTCAGCCTGGCTCCGATTAGGAAGCTAGAGGGTGAGTCTAGCATGCCCAACGGAGGACCATCGCTTCTCACGTGAGACTCTATTCTGGCTCTTGCTCTTTGCTCCTTGTGCCTCTCATTGTCATCATCCCCTTCCTCCCCTAAGTAGCCGCTGTCCTCATTTCTAACACCATGGATTAGTTTGGCATAGTTTCAAGTACAAAATAAATGCAATCATAGTGCCTCCTCTCTTATCTTTTTGTTTTCTCCCAGCCTTGTGTTAATGAGATCACGATACTGTTGCCGACTGTGGTAAATTATTCTCCTTCTTTGCAGTGTGATATTCCAACAAATGGATACCACACCATTTGTCCATTCTTCCATCGACGATGTTTGTTTTCTCTCCCAGGTTTTGGCTGTTACAATCAATGTTGTATGGTCAATGTACACGTTGATCTTCATTGTTCATGGATTCTGTGAATTTGCCTGCTCACTAAAATTTATTTGTAACCCTGAACTCAATACCTGCAGCGCTTTCACTGTCATTCATAGACATGCACAGAGTGGTGAAAAATTCGAGTCACCTGACGTGCATGTTCCCAGCTGAGGTCAAACAAGGCAATGCTCTGTCTTCTTACAGTTCTCATATTACAAACCAGTGTCATTCTCAGGGTCTACTTAGTGTCATGTTTTTTTAAATTTTTGCACTTTTTCATGGTAATTTCACTATTTAAAATGGTGCCTGGGACAACTGGGTGGCTCAGTTGGTTGAGCCTCTGACTGTTGATTTTGGCTCAGGTCACGATCCCAGGGTCGTGGGATTGAGCTGTGCATCAGGCTATGTGCTGAGCACGGAGCCTGCTTGAGATTCTCTGTCTCTCCCTCAGCCCCTCTCCTCTGCTTGCATTCTCTCTCTCTCTCTCTCTTTAAAATAGAAAATAAAACAAAATGAAATGAAATGAAATGAAATGAAATGAAATGATGCCCAATCTGAATGCTGAGGTGCTGTCTAGTTCTCCTAAGGGCAAGAAGGCCGTAATGTGCTGTATGGAGAAAATAATGTATGTCCAGGCATGAGTTATAGTGCTGTTGTCCATGAGTTCAGTGTTAGTCACTTTCTAAATAAGGTGTCTTCAAACAGAAACACATATAACAAAGTGTTATATATTGATTGGTCGATGAAAATGCTGTGACCAGAGGCTGGCAGGAGCTTCACCCTGCATTTCCCTGGGGAGCACCTGTTCAGTACTGGCTAGGTCAGCAGTCGTGGTGACTTTATGGAACATAATCACCATGAATATGAGAATTGACAATATATGCATTTCATTGAGTACATACTTAGGAGTTGCATTGCTAGGTCTTAATGATTGACATGATTTCAACATCAGTACATCCATCAAAGAGATTTTAAAGACACTGCATTCATGTTCACTCTCATCATCAGTATGTGAGCATACTAATAGCTCCGTACCTTTTCTGACACTTGGTATTGTCAGACTTTCAAATTTTAGCCACGTTGTTGATGTGTAGTCCATCATGTTGTGGTGTAACATGCATTTTCCTGATGATTAATAGTGTTGAGCATGCTTTCATCAGTTACTTACTGGCCATTTAGAAGTCCTCTTTTGTGAAGTACCTGTTTCGGTCTTTGCCTTTTTTAAAAAGTGGGTTGTCGGGGCACCTGGCTCAGTCAGTCAAGCGTCCAACTTCAGCTCAGGTCATGATCTCACGGTCTGTGGGTTTGAGCCCTGCATCGGGCTCTGTGCTGATGGCTCAGAGCCTGGAGTCTGCTTTGGATTCTGTGTCTCCCTCTCTCTCTCCACCCCTCCCCTGCTTGTGCTCCCTCTCTCTCTCTCTCTCTGAAAAATAAACATTAAAAATAAATAAATAATGAAAAATAATAAATAAAAAGTGGGTTGTCTGTCTCTTTCTTATTGACTTGTAGGAGTCCTGCTATGTTTTCAAATCAGTCCTTTGTTGGTTACATGTGTTACAAATAATTTCTCCTACTCTGTGGCTTATAATTTCATTCTTTCAGTGGTGTTTTTTTGTTGAGTATGTAAGTTCATGATATAAATGAAATCAAACTTACCATTTTTTTCTTTATGGCTTGTCCTTTTAATATCTCATTTAAGAGATCTTTGCTTACTATGAAGTCATAAAGATGTTATCCTACATTATCTTCTAGGAGTTTTGATGTTTTAGCTTTCACATTTTGATGTACAATCTACTTGTTTGTATGATGTGAGCCAGTAATCATGATTTGATTTTTTTCCTATAGTAATATTCAATCAACATAAGTATAATACATTGAAAAACCGTACTTTTCCCACTAAAGAGTAATGCTTTCATAATGTGTCATTCCTACCCTTTTACTTGTCATCTGTTTGTATTCTTATTATTTTTTTTTTTCAACGTTTATTTATTTTGGGGACAGAGAGAGACAGAGCATGAACGGGGGAGGGGCAGAGAGAGAGGGAGACACAGAATCGGAAACAGGCTCCAGGCTCTGAGCCATCAGCCCAGAGCCCGACGCGGGGCTCGAACTCACGGACCGTGAGATCGTGACCTGGCTGAAGTCGGACGCTTAACCGACTGCGCCACCCAGGCGCCCCTCTTAGCTAATATTTTAATAATGTTGCTTCTGTCTCATTCTTTTGCCATCAGAATTCATCATTTATAAATGTAGGCTTTAAAATAATGATGATTAATATGCCTAAGAAGCTGGAGGGCATGATAGATCATTTAAACAGAGCACCGAAATGTAGAAAAGAAAGTGAAATAAAAAATGTAGAACTGAAAAGTAATTGAAATTGAGAGCACAATAGATACATTGCATAGCAGATTAGTAGACATAGTAGAAGGAGGGGTTGTTAAAGGGAAGACAGATGTCTAGAAAATATCCAGCCTGAAGCTGAATGGAGAGGTGAAACATGTTTGTTTTCCTATAAAATCCCAGATTTTTGCTTTTTCATGAAAAATCAAAGTTTTTGTGAACATCGAGCCTATATAATCCTTCAGTTGGAATTGAAACTTTAGTTGGCCTGGGCTGATAGAGCGCTGTCTGTAGTTGGATATATTCTTCCCATTAGCCGGAGTCCACTCTTCCTTATTTCTTTTTGCCACTGAAGCTGCATAGCTGTTGCCATGGTTTATACTACCTATGCACTGCTTCATTCATTTACGTTGGCTGAGTGGGTGTTGGTAGGGGAGTGTGCGGGAGGGGAGGGACAGTCTAGGCATATGAAATAGCACATGAAAATGCACTTAGCTGGGTGAGTTGGACAAGCCTGGGGACTCAAAGGAAGCCGGCAGGGCTAGAGCACAGACATGAGCAGAGGCCGTGTTGTATTACACCAGATCCAAAACAAGTAGCTGCGAAGGACCAAGAGTTATTTCACTGTTAACTCGACGGTACACATATTTGGCCCCTCTCTACCTTCTGGTGGAAACAGTCCATCACTATATAAAATTCAGTTGTTAACAGTAAGAAGACTAGCTAACTTTTAGCCAGGTAGACAGGCTATTGAGTTGGTAGGATGAAATGTCACTGAATACATTTTCATGCCTTCGTTTCCCCTGGGTCTTAGCTGCAAGTGTCCACTGCTTGGAAAAGTGTGGGAAGCTGACTTGGAAGCTTGTCGGTTGCTCATCCAGAGCCTACAGCTCCGGGAGGCCAGGAGCGCCCTGTCCACAGAAGAGGAGAGGCTTATAGAAGACTCAGGGGGAGCTACCGGTCCAGCCACTCCTGCCATCCCCTCCAGGCTCCACTCTGAAGACGAGAGGAGGATCCCTTGGCAGGCCTTCGAAGAGTGGCAGGTTCACCTGACCGCATCTCTGCACTGCGCTGGCAGCGAACAGAAGGAGGTCTGTCCATCCCCATAGCCCCAGCAGGGGGCCTACCCTGAGGGGTACTCTGGATCCCCCCTCCAAATGGGAACAGTAAATATTGGGAGGGCGACCCATCGAACCATGCAAACTTTTGAAGGTATTAATAACCCTGGAATATGATTACAAAATAACGTAGAATCTTTGCGGAAGTTTAAAATACAGAAGAACAAAAAAAAAATCACTTTTGACATATTTAGTTCTATGTTCTAATTTAATGGCTAGAGTTAGAATATAAACCTGGTATATAATTACCATATATAGCATATGGCATATATGTCACATATAACATATAATTATTGCATATACTATTACATATGTCACCTGATTTTAATTATATATTTAGAATCTATATATCATTATTTATTAGAATCACATTTTCAAATATACGTACATATCCCTTTGTTTTGGCCCAAACAAGGTGGTAATGGGCCTTTATGCTCTTTGTAATATGCTCTTTTCATTTCTTTAAATTTTTTTCCCGGTTTATTTATTTATTTTGAAAGAGAGAGCGAGCACCAGTGGGGGAGGGGCAGAGGGAGACAGAGAGAATCCCAAGCAGGCTCCACACTGTCAGTGCCGAGCCTGATGCAGGGCTTGAACTCCTGAACCACGAGATCATGACCTAAGTCGAAGTCAGATGCTTAAGTGACTGAGCCATCCAGGTGTCCCATGCTCTTTTCTTTTTTTTTTTTTTTTTTTTTTTTT